CATCATAATAATAATAAGGAATTGCGAAAGCTATCTTTTATTCTCAGCCTTAACTTTTGTTTTGTTTGGTAATGCATGTGATTCGGATCGGTCTATCTCTCGAAAACTTTTTTACGTGGTGTGATGAGTATCCCTAACTCTCACAACTGTTGTAGATAACTCATATTTACACCCAATTTTAGTTACGGTAGCTTCATGACCAAATAATTTTATATGGCAAAGAATTGAAGGTCGTTAGAGAGAAACTAAGACCATGTAATTTAGTATAATTAAGCCTAATAAAGTAAATGATTAGGGGTCGACATGAGTTTGTCAGATTTTCCTTCATTTTTTTGGTCGGTGTAGATAATATTGTTTGGTCAAATAGTCGATGTGAACTATAATAAACTTTTATCAATGTTAAGTAAAGAAAAAAAAAAAGACAATAAAGAAGGAAATAAGGAGGAGAAAATGGAAGATGACGATGAAGTGGTGGGCAACTTTGGCTTAACACAACTCCACAAGTTTTTTCATTTTGTAAAAAAAAAAACAAAAAAGGTATCAACATAGAGCTAAACTAAAAACATTCCACTCTCTTCATCTCTTATCTCTTCTTCAAAACTTTTTCTTTGTTTTTCTTGCAACACTTTGTTCATCTTTTTCTAATGGATAATTGTGCTTATATTTATTATACTATGAGTTTCACATTTGATTACCCGTACACGTACATACTATATATTTGATTTATTACGATTTTATAACAATCATTTTTATTGTCACCAAATTACGTCCTTTATGTTTTAGTTAAGTACTTTATGTTCCATACTTTAACGATATAATTCAAGCCAACTTAGCCAATACCTAGGTAAAGTAAGCTAGTGTGGTCTAGCAAACACATTTTTCCCTTTTACGAATTTTGTTTCAAAAAGAAAAATTTGAGAAAGCTTTGTAGCTGAAGATCATCTAATAAACATAACCAATGATGTTATATATACATATATTTGGGATGAATTTACAGGATAGTGTTTATACATACATATATTAAGGATGAATTTTCATGATTTTCTTAGACAGTTCAGTTAAACCGGGTTAGAGTACATCAAATTTGCTGAATTTTGTAGAATATTCCGTGGGTCGATGGAAAGTTACAAAATTGCTATTTTGGATCAATTGGTGACCAAGAAGTATTCTCGTCACCATCTCTTTCACGCCATTCGCAAAATGATATACTGATGATTTCAAGTTTCGACTACTTCATGCATGAATTAATTATGTTTTGTTGTGTAAGAAATTTTTATGTTTCCAATTTATCACAAATTTCATGGGTATATATGGTTCAAATGGCATATATGTTGTAAATGAGATTCGGCCCATATAACCCATATGACAGTAGCCATGGCCCATGATTGAGCTAAACTCTTATCTCTCTCCGGTTATCGCCGGTTTAGATAATCGGAAAGCAAGATCTATTTTTTTTTAATCATCTTAAACTCAAAGGAAGC